ACACAGCGGGTAGTCCCGAGCAGGCAAGATAGCTCCATCTTGCCCACTCGGGTAGCCAATCACAGCGCAGGATTTGATTCATCTTGCCCCCTCACGGAGCTAGCCATATAATAAATGAATCTATTAAACAAGTACCGGTAACAGACATGCAAATTTAAGTCAGTTAAATGATGTTTTAGACAAGTCTGGCGACGTTATTTGATAACTTCACAAAATGATATCTTCCCAGACATATTCAAGTTGTCTAGGACCTGAATATAAATGTAAGACTTTAAAACTAAATTACTCTTACTAATCTTTTCATCTCTTGGACAAAGTCTAACAAATCTTCCTAAGAATTTCAGCAATTCAGGGAGCGATAGACAAAGCCGGCAAATAAAAGCTCAGTGAAATACGCTGTGTCAAATTATTCATGACCTTAGAACCTTTAGGCTATGCATCTTCATGTCTTCCTTGTTGCAGCTTATATTTAGCCAGTTCCTTCGATTCCCAAGATAGCCAAAACATGGAAAATGTTCTTCTTTGGAATTGCTGCAAACATTTTAGGAAGAAAGTTCTTGGAACTTCTGTCTGGGAATTAAGTCTTTGAGACCCCCTAATGGAAACACACACTTAATATTTTCTCGGAAAAACATGTTATATATGCAGACTTCATTGGCTGGTGATGAGTCAAGGGGAATCCCCAGAGTTAAGCTCTGACGCATTCGCATAAACAACGAAAGGAAATATGATCGATCGGATTTCGCTGCGAGGTTTATGACTGTAAAAGGGGATTTTCGGGTAATGCTGTCTCTGATTCCAAACATGGAATTTAAAGATACATGCCGTAGGGAAAATGTTGAAGTTGATCGATCATGCATAAATAATTTTGAATATTAGTCTTTAAACTGAGTTGCAAAGTTATTATTTTGAATATCAAATTCAATATTCCTTCAGCCTGCGTATGTACTTTCGACTTCACCAAATAGATTTTTGCAATATAAACATAACAGATCGAAAACTGCGCATCTCATAAGAATACCGAAACGAACAAAACAGCGACTATCGGATGGAAACTGTTTTCATCGCCATATCTTCAAGACCCTCGAGCACTTTTAAAATAATAACAATGCATGAAAAGGTTCATCTGTAGCGGAAAGAGATGGAAACTTACCTCCGTTTCGGTCGCAAATAACTTGACGATGTTCTCATGATTCAGCTTATTAAGGACTTCAAATTCTCTTCTCCTCACCTCTACCGGTCTCATCATTCCTAGCTGGTTTGAAATCTTTACTGCATACGTATCGCCAGTTTTCTGAGGGTAATTAGATCGAAAGTGAAATCATCACGAAAGCAGCGCAGCTGTACGTACCTCGAGCGATCGTGAATCGTTCAGAACAGAAAGACAGGCAAAAATACCTTTAAAAGCAATACATAAAATCACCTTGTGTCTTCCCNGAAGTTTCATGCTTTTATCACAAAATGAACAATTCTGGTTATTTTTGGCTCTTAACAGCAGGACTAGATAATCAAGGTTCGACTATTGATTTTACTATCTATGTGTATATTTTACCTTATGAGACCAATAAAGTTGATAGACTATTCTTAAACCAGTTTCCTCCTGCTAAGAACATTAATGAAACCCTTGCAGCATCAATTTCACTTCTGTCAATTGGAGAAGAGCCTATCCCCCAGGGGTTACCCCTAAGCATTCATTTAGCAATTTTAGCAATTTTCTTTTCCAAAAAAACTGACAAATTCCCCAGCGCAAAAAAGAAGTCAAATGTCCTACTATAACTTGTATAGCAATAAAAATGTCACTGGAACTTTCAATTGACCCATATTTGATCAACAGATAATGAAATGAATATATCAAGGAACAACATTGTGTTTGCATTTACAAGGGTGCCAAATGCTGATTGGGCTTGTTCCAAGGGTAGGTAATTCCCGGTCCTAGGCAATAATAAAATATCAAATGCTCCATCCTCTGGATTAAGGTGTGAGCAAATGCTGGCTGATGCCTGGGGAGGGAGGTGGGGATGAGTACTACCAGACTTGACTCAATGGAATGCATAAAGACTTCAGGAAATTTTGAGGTTTAATGAGCCTGGAAGGCTGGATGAGCTTGTTTAAGACATTCCTTGGAGTTTTCTTAGCTAAATTCCTGCATACATGTATAACACTTATGCGTAATATATTTAATTTTCAGAATTTCATAATGTAGTAGACACTTTTAAGTACAGTGAAACCTCTGTTAAGTGGACCCCCAATTAAGCAGACACCCTCTATTAAGTGGACACTTTGTCTGGTCCTGAAATTAACGTGTTATATTTCCCTTTATAATGAACCCCTATTCAGCAGACACCTCTATTAAGCAGACGCGGACACTAAAACAAATTGTATTTGGCTAATTTCTATTGTTAAAAACCTCTATTAAGCAGACACCGGACTGAATTGACAATGTGGCATTGGATTACGTCCTTGAAATAGTCGATTAAATGTACCCTTATCATTGTTGCTGTATGGAAAGGGCATTATTACAAATGAGTTAAAGTTGGTAATGAAAGCTGATGAACTTGAACTCTGGATAGCTTTGTTAACAACCTGGAACTTTATTACAGTACAGAGGAACCTTTAAATGTTAATTGTTAACAAACATGGCACAATTGTTATAAACCTTTATTAAGCGGACACCCTCAATTAAGCAGACACTTGGGAAGGCCCTGAGGGTGTCTGCTTAATAGAGGTTTCACTGTATTTTTTTCAAATTCTTTCAGTTCCACTAATCAAATACCAAGCTGCATCCTATGTTTAACACAAACTTGATACAGGTTACACAAAGGGAAGCTGTTTTTTTCAGGAAGCCCTTTAGAATTCTCCCATGTGTACTTCCTTCTTCCTTGTATCAAGTTACATAAACAGGAAGCAAAAATGTTCCATTTCCTTTTGGAGCTGACAAAATTGAATTGTAAAATAAAATGACTTTAATAACAATCAATCCCTAATCAAAAACGCTTTACAACATTTCCTTTTAACAAATCAAATGTGGTTTAGCGTTGTCTGTACTCTTATTGACAATGATAAATAATGCATCATCACCATGGTCAAACTGTTGTGGACTCACAAGGCTGCGCCTCATGAGTCAACCCTTATCTATCCTTAATCAACCCTTGACTATCCCTACTACAATTTTGACTCACAATCATATGAATAGTTTCAGCTCATCAAGAGCAATTGTAAAAGTGAAAGAGTTAACCAAGACAGAGTAGCAGATAAAAGTTGACTAACGATGATACACAAATTTATTCCACAAGTAAGTCAGCCATAGAAATTTGAATCGATTAAATGATGTTTAGACAACAAAGACAATGGCACAGTTCAACTGTGACAGAACAGTGCTAATGAAATCAGAATGTTAAACAGTCTGGCAACATCATTTGATAACTTCACAGAATGATATCCTCACAGGTATATTTAAGTTGTCTAGAGTCTGAATATGAACGTAGGAATTTCAATGAAATTACTCTGTCATATCCTTTTTATCTTCTAAGCAAAGTCTAACATCTTTCTTGGAATTTCAACACTTCAGAGAGAGCAAACAATAGACAAAGCTGGCAAATAAAAGCTGGGTGAAATATGATATGTCAAGTCAAGTTAAGCTTTTAGGTTTTGCATCTTATTAAATGTCTTCCTGGATGCACGTAGACATTAAAATTCCCAAGATAGCCCAAACATGGAAAATGGTCTTCTTTGGAATTGCTAAAAACATCTGAGGAAGAAAGTCCTTTGAACTTCTGTCTAAGAGTGAGACCCCTAATGTAAATACTTGATATTTTCTCGGAAAAACATGTCATGAATGTGACTTCCTTTCATAGGTTAGCTATGAGGCAAGGGGAATCCCCGAAAATTAAACTATTTTGAGGTATACGCATAGACGTAAACAAAAGCGCTAAAAAGAAATGTGACCAGATTTCACGGCGCTAAGTCCATTTATGGGAATGTTCTCGGGAATGATTCCAAACATAGTCAGGGCAATTTAATTTGTGGAAATGTGCCGAGGGAAAAATGTTGACGATGATCATGCATGCATAAATAACTTTGAATAGTCTTTAAATTGAAATGATTTTCAAATTTGTCATTTTGAATATCTAATCACGTTCAATATTTTCTCCAGCCTGCGTATGTACCTTCGACTCTTTCAAATGCGAATATAAAACAGCCACTGCAGATCAAAGACTGTACATCGCATATATTGAAACGAATAAAATAACGAGTGTCGAATAGAACAGAATAGACGCTGTTTTCATCGTCATATTTTCAGCTGTATCTTCCAGACCCTTGAGGGCTTAAAAATAATAAAAATTTGCATTTAAAGGTCTCAACTTTAGCGGAAGACTTACCTCCGTTTCGCTTGCAAATAACTTGACGATGTTCTCATGATTCAGCTTATTAAGGACTTCAAATTCTCTTCTCCTCACCTCTACCGGTCTCATCATTCCTAGCTGGTTTGAAATCTTTACTGCATACGTATCGCCAGTTTTCTGAGGGTAATTAGATCGAAAGTGAAATCATCACGAAAGCAGCGCAGCTGTACGTACCTCGAGCGATCGTGAATCGTTCAGAACAGAAAGACAGGCAAAAATACCTTTAAAAGCAATACATAAAATCACCTTGTGTCTTCCCTTGTAAACGGCTCCCGTTGCACCTTGCCCCAGAACATCTTTAATGTTCCAAATGTAGTTCGTGCTGCTTCGGATCTCCATCATCTATTGCAGTAAGAATCAACGACAACAAACAGATATTAAGAGATATTATAGGAGGGCTCCTAGTTCCTGGAACTATGTACGGTATGTTTGTACACAAGAAGCTGTTGAGAGAGCAGTTTCTCTTCAATAAAACATCTTTCCCATCCCATCCCATCGCATTTCTTTTCTCATTTCCAGGCCGATTAAAATCCACAGAAAAATGTGGTAGAGCTCTCCAGGAGTTGTTGCAGTTCCCAGTTTGTCAGAGTGACGCTGTGTTGTTTGCTTCGATTAATTAGCGTTAGGTGGAAGTAGGGGTGGGGTAATATTTCTAGCCACCCCTCGTTAGGATTATTGCTAGCGTAGCGTGACGCTGTTATATATCGGTTAGCAGGTTATTTTTATTGTATCTTTCTCCATTCGACTGCTCCAGCTTGACGAAAAAAAAGCCAGTTCAAACAAGCCAGGCCAAAGATTTAAAGGTTTCCCGCTAATACGAGAACACAGGGAATGTGATTTCAAAAAAACACAACGCGTAAGTAAGGGAGAGAGAGAGAGGGCCGCGAGATTACTGGGAATCGAAGACTATTTTCTCGGAAATCATGTATCCCGCTCGTCGTTTCCTCGTAGCATTAACCAATTAATTATTCGATAGCTGACTAGTATGAGACTACGTGTGGAATGAAAGGTCAAAACCTCTTAATACAAAGAAGAAAAAACGTAACGCAACATTCATCCGGAAGTCGCGTGACGTCAGATCTAAAACTGCGTTTTAGCAATAAAATATAACTTTTTACTTTCAAAGTTATAAAAGTTACTTTATAAGCTGTACTTGAGTAAGATTTTGTAAGATTTTGGTCTTTCCTGTAACTACCACAAATGTATAGATCCCAGCGTTTTTATTAAATCCAGTTTTTTTATTTTTCTTTCATGGTTTTTATGCCACCTTAGCTTTATGGATTTTACTTACGTAATATTAGTAGTAGGACTTTATTTAAGTGTCGAGGTGTTTAGCTTTTGACAAATGAATTGGAGACACTAACAAAATCTTAAGTGGATACATTAAAACTAGTACATTTACAAGTGTATGCTAATGAATTGAGGACACTAACATCATCTTACGTGGTTACATTAAGAAAAAAAAATTTAAAAAATAATAGGGTATTTACACAAATACAGGTAAAAAGATCTAAAAGGTAAAAATCTTAAAGTATATCAAAACCAATTTATTACACGTGTATCCCTAATATAATTCAGCCTAAAAATTTAATCCAGCCTCTAATAAAGTAAAAAACATAAATCACAATTTCTGCAGTCTTCTAAAAGGAGAATTACTTAATTTCAATATTTCTCCAGTCTTGAAACTTACTTTTGACGCTGGAAGTATCGTACTAAATTTTATCTTGATCGATTTAGAGGTACATGTATTTAAATGTATATTACTCAAAATTCCTAATGATACAGAGATCAGTGGTGAAATATATTAGAAAGTTACGTCTGAATTTTATAATTCTGACTCGATGAAAAGAGTGATTTTGCTCCACGATGCATCTAAAACTTTAAAAACTGTTAGGACCGAAAAGTTATTTATTACAAAGCTTACCTCAGATTCGTTCCCTCGTGAACAGTTGAATGTATGTTCTTCTCGAGAGTTAAAGTGTAATTCACACACTTACGTAATTACTCAACGCTGTGTTCCATATATAATCATGATTTTATGAAAATGTCTTGTCATCGTCGGGACACTGGCCTAGACTAAAACAAAAGAAAACAAACCGCGTATAAGCATAACCAAGGTCACAGAGCTTATACGATGCTGCCACGAACATGTTTGTGGTTCTACGTGGCACGAGATCGATTACTCGGGATTTCCCTCCTGACTTTTGCGTGACAAAAACATGACAAGTAGCTGATCGGTCTTCAGGAGCATAGCTAATTAAAACCTTGATTTGTAGCACGACCTTTTGGATCGAAAGCACGAGTTTCGTAAGTCTTTCCTTAGCTATAACCTTGAGTGACAATTTTTCCGTAATTTAAGTGCCATTTATTTATCTAATGCATGACGGAAGTCACAGTGCCCACTCAACTNGCAAATAACTTGACGATGTTCTCATGATTCAGCTTATTAAGGACTTCAAATTCTCTTCTCCTCACCTCTACCGGTCTCATCATTCCTAGCTGGTTTGAAATCTTTACTGCATACGTATCGCCAGTTTTCTGAGGGTAATTAGATCGAAAGTGAAATCATCACGAAAGCAGCGCAGCTGTACGTACCTCGAGCGATCGTGAATCGTTCAGAACAGAAAGACAGGCAAAAATACCTTTAAAAGCAATACATAAAATCACCTTGTGTCTTCCCTTGTAAACGGCTCCCGTTGCACCTTGCCCCAGAACATCTTTAATGTTCCAAATGTAGTTCGTGCTGCTTCGGATCTCCATCATCTATTGCAGTAAGAATCAACGACAACAAACAGATATTAAGAGATATTATAGGAGGGCTCCTAGTTCCTGGAACTATGTACGGTATGTTTGTACACAAGAAGCTGTTGAGAGAGCAGTTTCTCTTCAATAAAACATCTTTCCCATCCCATCCCATCGCATTTCTTTTCTCATTTCCAGGCCGATTAAAATCCACAGAAAAATGTGGTAGAGCTCTCCAGGAGTTGTTGCAGTTCCCAGTTTGTCAGAGTGACGCTGTGTTGTTTGCTTCGATTAATTAGCGTTAGGTGGAAGTAGGGGTGGGGTAATATTTCTAGCCACCCCTCGTTAGGATTATTGCTAGCGTAGCGTGACGCTGTTATATATCGGTTAGCAGGTTATTTTTATTGTATCTTTCTCCATTCGACTGCTCCAGCTTGACGAAAAAAAAGCCAGTTCAAACAAGCCAGGCCAAAGATTTAAAGGTTTCCCGCTAATACGAGAACACAGGGAATGTGATTTCAAAAAAACACAACGCGTAAGTAAGGGAGAGAGAGAGAGGGCCGCGAGATTACTGGGAATCGAAGACTATTTTCTCGGAAATCATGTATCCCGCTCGTCGTTTCCTCGTAGCATTAACCAATTAATTATTCGATAGCTGACTAGTATGAGACTACGTGTGGAATGAAAGGTCAAAACCTCTTAATACAAAGAAGAAAAAACGTAACGCAACATTCATCCGGAAGTCGCGTGACGTCAGATCTAAAACTGCGTTTTAGCAATAAAATATAACTTTTTACTTTCAAAGTTATAAAAGTTACTTTATAAGCTGTACTTGAGTAAGATTTTGTAAGATTTTGGTCTTTCCTGTAACTACCACAAATGTATAGATCCCAGCGTTTTTATTAAATCCAGTTTTTTTATTTTTCTTTCATGGTTTTTATGCCACCTTAGCTTTATGGATTTTACTTACGTAATATTAGTAGTAGGACTTTATTTAAGTGTCGAGGTGTTTAGCTTTTGACAAATGAATTGGAGACACTAACAAAATCTTAAGTGGATACATTAAAACTAGTACATTTACAAGTGTATGCTAATGAATTGAGGACACTAACATCATCTTACGTGGTTACATTAAGAAAAAAAAATTTAAAAAATAATAGGGTATTTACACAAATACAGGTAAAAAGATCTAAAAGGTAAAAATCTTAAAGTATATCAAAACCAATTTATTACACGTGTATCCCTAATATAATTCAGCCTAAAAATTTAATCCAGCCTCTAATAAAGTAAAAAACATAAATCACAATTTCTGCAGTCTTCTAAAAGGAGAATTACTTAATTTCAATATTTCTCCAGTCTTGAAACTTACTTTTGACGCTGGAAGTATCGTACTAAATTTTATCTTGATCGATTTAGAGGTACATGTATTTAAATGTATATTACTCAAAATTCCTAATGATACAGAGATCAGTGGTGAAATATATTAGAAAGTTACGTCTGAATTTTATAATTCTGACTCGATGAAAAGAGTGATTTTGCTCCACGATGCATCTAAAACTTTAAAAACTGTTAGGACCGAAAAGTTATTTATTACAAAGCTTACCTCAGATTCGTTCCCTCGTGAACAGTTGAATGTATGTTCTTCTCGAGAGTTAAAGTGTAATTCACACACTTACGTAATTACTCAACGCTGTGTTCCATATATAATCATGATTTTATGAAAATGTCTTGTCATCGTCGGGACACTGGCCTAGACTAAAACAAAAGAAAACAAACCGCGTATAAGCATAACCAAGGTCACAGAGCTTATACGATGCTGCCACGAACATGTTTGTGGTTCTACGTGGCACGAGATCGATTACTCGGGATTTCCCTCCTGACTTTTGCGTGACAAAAACATGACAAGTAGCTGATCGGTCTTCAGGAGCATAGCTAATTAAAACCTTGATTTGTAGCACGACCTTTTGGATCGAAAGCACGAGTTTCGTAAGTCTTTCCTTAGCTATAACCTTGAGTGACAATTTTTCCGTAATTTAAGTGCCATTTATTTATCTAATGCATGACGGAAGTCACAGTGCCCACTCAACTAATTCTTTTGTTACGTAGGCAGTCAAGTCAACTTCCCTTATATCCCTTTTTGGAATGTCTTCTTTATCTGATAATTTGTATGAAAACAAGAATTATTTAAAGATAAAATATTTCCATCTTTGAAAATTCTGTAGAAGGGTAGCTCTGAGATTTATTTGTAGCTATGGAACTCCCAGCCCCATGTAAATAAAGTCTTATAACTAATTTTCAGCTTTAGCTCTACTTGCACCGCCAGTCTTCCTTTGAAGAGGAACAGTGTTTTTATGAGCAAAATGAGAAGAGTTTGTTAGACTACAAGATCAGAGACACAGCAAACTTCAAATTTGGGGCAGCCTGTTCAATACTCTCAGAAAAATTAAATTCCAGTGGTCAAAGAACTTTCCTTAGGATGGAAGGAGGAAGAGGGAGGAGGAGGGGGAGGGGGTGGGGGTGGGGATTGGTTTGGGCTGGTGGTCTGTAAGATCAAGGGAAACTTGTTAAAAAAGGCCCCTTCAACAAAGATCCCTCCTGTGAATAAATGGTCACAGACTAAAAATATCAACCTAAAAAAAAAAAAAGGAGGAAGAGAAAAAATCTCAATCTTATTGTTTTAGCACAAAATGTCAGGTGACATTGCAAAGAGACCATTTTTTCCCCCTGGAAATCAATAGATGTGGTACATGTATAACCAATATGGTTTTCTTGTCTTTTGCAGACACAAGTTGCTGTTGGTAAGAAACTTGTGAATGGTTGATTCAATGAAAATCAAATGATCGGATGATCAGGCAATTCAATAATTCTGTCATACCCACATTACTCTAAATTTTGCTGTTGACATGTAGTATTACAAATTTTTACCAGGAACACAGTATTCTGTCATTATACAAAAATAGTACATTCAACTAGTAGACAACAAGACTTTTCCATTTTTCCACACTAAACATTTTTCATTTTCTGTACCTTGTTTTTGTCTCTATGATTTATCAAAAACTGCAATCATGAGCAAACATTTCCAAATATTTTACCATCGATAAAATTCATAGTTTGTCCAGATTCATGCTTCATGATTGTTGTGTAAATTTAAGTCTGCATACGAGCCAAGTTGTCCATCAGGCCAGAGCTTATCCCATTTTCTGTAGCATGAAACGACTAGGAATATTTCTACTCCCCCCTGGATGGGATGCTAGTCCATTGCAGGGTTACCCCAATATTAAATAATTTGCCTCTACCCATTTATACACCTGGGTAGAGAGAGGCGGTGTGAGAGTAAAATTAAATGCGTGCCCAAGAACAGTGCACTAACCATGAGGCCAACGCACCTCCCCGTGATTGTTGTGTGGTGAGTTTTGAAGGCCTTAATGATAGTTTGATTCCAGTAGACAATATTTTCAAGTCATAATGTAAAAAATCTAATTATATTGCTATCAAATAGTACTTCTCAAGTTGTTTTTCACAAACTATGTACTGTCAGTCTTTTCCCTGACACACTTGTGCATAACATTATTTTTAAGAGCATTATTTTTCTCTCTGTCAAAAATTTGAATATCTATAAATACAACTTGTAACTTCAAAATTATCGTCTCTGAAGGTGGTGGTCAGCACTTAGAATCAATAATTGTTTTTGTATAGATTTTAAGATTTTAGCTTTAAATTAAAAACACATTTGCCAACATTTTTAATGAGAGTCAAATTTGCAAACTTCCTTGTTTGAGAAATTGAAAATGGCACCATGACTCAAACATACAGTGTAAGTGAATGATTCAAAAGTTTTTATTCGGTGCTTTACAATTTCTCCAAGTCTCTTCAACTATTTCCTCCAAATGCAGCTTTAATTTACCTAGCTTGATCATGTTCCCTATGGCATAACCCTCCCCACAACCCTTAGTGAAATTGAAATAGTCCTCTGAAAAAGCTCCCCCNCCCCCCCCCCCGTTCATAAACATCTATTTTTCCACCTGTCTCCATACCTCATGTTTAAAGTAAGCGTCCCCAAACATGGGTAACCTGCACTAGGATTTTTTTGCTCTGAACCCTGCTATCCGCTTCGTACCCCAATAATATAAAAGTTGAAATGGTATGTCATTGAACAGTGCTACTGATATTTTCGTTTTGCTGCCTCTAGGACCATGGAAAAATTAGCAGAATGAATGTTGCACAAGATTGAGAGTGAATTGAAATTTGAACATGGCTGTACTTACTTTCATGTCCAGACTCAAGGTGTAAGAACTTACCTTGAAGCTTCTACTGGAAAAACAACAAACTTGGAGAACTTGCACAACACTGAAAACCAACCTTTCAATTTGATGCACTTCCTTATCTGTTTAGAACGTGAAAGCAAGGGTTTTTCCCTGATAAAAACAGCTAAATTACTGTGTTTGATTTTCCCGCCTGAAGTTTCACTTTCATGTGCCATGCAACACTTATACCCAGGTCTCTTTACACCCTGTCACGTCCTGTTACACCAGGTGTAGTCAATCGCTAAAAATTGATATAAGAAATCAATCAATTGAATCGATTGATATCTGCAATTGATAACAATTGAACCCACAGAAAAATCTCTTTTTCGATTGCTATTGATTGGCAAAAATCGATAACAATCGATAATTCCTGTTTTCTGGAATATTGATTGTGATGGATTGAAGAAGACAATTTTGACGATAACCACCCAGACTATTCAAAGATGGCTTTACTATTGTGTAAAATAATGCCTGGAATAACACGATAGTTTCCTTTGGCCTGCGTGGAGATCTACTCTTATGTTTGTTTCCTAATGCAAATATTGAAATCACTAGAGCACTGGCTCTGTTGTTTATTTTGCTTCATCTAAATGCTGATACTACAATGGGACTGGGGGGTTTTACACTGCTACTCTGGCCTGAGCGTCTTCCAGTGTCCTAAACTTGTAAAGAAGGATGCAAGACCCAAAATGTTTCTGTTAAAGTCGTTTCTGTTCTTGTTATTTTGTTGATGATTGTAAAAGATACGCAGGCTATGATAAAATGACTCAATAAAACCATTTTAGACAGCTTTTGTCAAAAATTTTATCCGTTGAACTTGTAAAAGGACAAAAATAATTTCTGATAACAATCGATAAAAATCGATACCAATCAATGAATCAATCGTATATTGATTACTATTGTATTGGCAATCAATAACAATCAAACTCACAACATTTTTCTTCATCAATTTTCATTAATTACCATCGGCAATCAATATCAATCTTCTATTGATATTGATTGTAATCAATTAATATCAAATATCGGTATATTGATTGACTATGCCTGGTGTAACGCTACTCCACCGCCCTGTCACACAACACACGTGTAAAGTATCGCGATTCACACTTGTTCCATTGTAAAGATCCCCTTAAAAAAACAAACCTTGATGGATTACAAAATTAGAATTAGAAACAAATGCCTAGATGGCATTTTTATTTATATTAAAACACACGACTAGTTTTGACATAGTCAACATTTTGTGAAAAACTGCTGACGTGTCAAATTCACCATCTTTTTTAACTTATCACGTCAGCATTTTGTTCCGGTCATTCACGTGTATCAAGTCGTGTAACAGTTCTTGAGCGTAGCCGGCAATCGCAATATTCGTAATTTGTTGCGAGGCAAGTGAAATATTGCCCAGTGTATAAACAGCACCTTTTACGATAGACACTTGTACTCACTGGATCGATATATTTTAAGAAGAGAGTACGGATAAATATATATCATAAATTTGATGGTAGGCAACTGACGGAGACTATAGAGCAAATTAAATATTGTTTAGTTTAGATCGTACCCGTATTACGATTAGGGCCAATGTCGACTTTTTTTAGTTAAAGCATCTATAGAATTGCTTTAGATCTTTTTTCGAGGAATTTAGACTCTTACCTTTAAAATGCCGTCTTTCTAGAGCGTTCAAGACAACTAAGAGTGCGTCGTCAGTACATTGTATCCCATGACAACGCAAATAGTTAAGGGGTGTCGAGTCACTCTGGTATTGGTCTAAAGAAAACCTTCTATCAGCAAACACGACACGATCTGCTTAAACGGTTCATTGTTTATTTCCCGGCCATGATCACTGCGTGATTGCGCGCCCGACTGCGCAGTCTTTAAAGTAAGGTCGCCGTATGGAGAATACGTTTGAAGAGCATGAAATACAAGTAAATTATTTAAAATCCCTGCGCGTACAAGGTTCTGTCGTGGTAGACAACGGGAATTTCGCCGGCGCGAACAAAACGTTTTTGGAATTTCCGCAAGCTCTAACTATACGCATGACGTCGCTGGGCCACAAGTCGGTCGGACCCCCGGCGCGGTGGTTGGGTCACGGAAGCCGACGAGCAAGCCGAGCTTAATATAAATCCTCCTCAACAAGCTTGAAGTGTTGCAGCTGTGTTCCAGGGCATGAAAAAATATATTCTAGATATTCTAGGGCATGAAAAAAATATTTTGTTTTGAGTTCAAAAGGAGCTCGAAATACCGAGTCCGTCGAGAAATTGGTAGGGCGGGGGANGGTAGCTTCCCGTACATACATGTTTTTGCATGCTGAAGTTTTGTTTCCCTGTTGCTCTTGTTTTCCCTCTAAAGTACGAAAAGGAAAACTTGTATCATGATCTTTTTTTTTGTTTTCAACAACAAAGCGTCGCTCATTTTTTCCTAATCTGACATAGCTATTTGACTATAAATATTTCAGATACTAGCATGAATTATGTACGTACGTTACTACTACAAAGCTACAAAACCAAGTGAGTAACAAAATTTCAACAACTTACCACACGAAAGTACGGTATGAAGCGTAAATAAAACTCACCCAAAGAACCTCTGTATCGTTTAAAGTATCCGCTCTGCCAGTTGCACTTCTTGAGTCTGTTTTAGTAGCAATAAAAGGGTGATTACCCGAACTAAAACTGTTGAATTACAATTGTTGAGGTTCAAGTTTCGCGCCCGTTTCACTTTCGAGTTCAGAGAGAGGCCTGGGAGAAAGTTTAGTTACATCGTGATCCACGCGTGGAAAATCACTGCCGCTGGTCAACTGTAACGAAGGCTACGATTGCACAATACAGAAAACGCCTGGCACTTTTAGCCACTCGTCTTCGAATTTTCACGATTAGACTCCAAAATGATCAGAAACGCTTTGATTCAAGGCGCTAGCCGCGGTATAGGACTACAGATGTGCCAATATCTGCTTGCTAAACAAACTGCAGTGATAGCAACGTGTAGAGATCCTGCAAGGGCTCAAGAACTGTCTCGACTCAAAGACGAACATGGTGACCTCATTACGATTCATTGTCTCGATGTCCAAGATGAAAAGCAAATCGAAGACGTAGCAGCTCATGTTGGTGATACAAAACTCGACTTGCTGGTAAACTGCGCCGGAATGCTTCATCCAAGCGGCAAAGGAGAAACTAGTTTACGTGAAGTTGATCTGGAGAGTTTAAAGTCCACGTTAGCTACGAATGCTCTCGGACCTTTGATGATGGCAAAACACTTCGGCCCGAATCTCACGAAAAGAGACAAATCGAGCAAGAACGAAGTTGCGGGTATTCTTGTCAACATATCAGCAAGAGTTGGATCAATCACTGACAACGCCCTCGGCGGATGGTACAGTTATAGAATGTCCAAAGTCGCGCTCAATATGGCCACCAAAAATCTCAGCATCGAGCTTGGAAGAAAACGCGTGATTTGTGTGGCCTTACATCCGGGTACAGTTAACACTGATCTTTCTCGGCGCTATCACAGAAATGTTGACCCTGCCAAAGTATTTACTCCTGAGTATTCAGTGGATTGCCTAATGAAGATTATCGAAGGGTTGGAAGTAAACGACAACGGGAAATTCTTCGCGTGGGATGGTATCGAGATTCCTTGGTGAATGACTGGGAATGCTGGGTCGGATACAGAATTCTAGAGAAGGGGGTTTGAGATAAAGACCGCCCAAGGTGGTCCCACGTAGGGGAGTCCAGGAACCTCCTCCCCTAGAAAATTTTTAGAATTGAGGTCCTCATAATTGGGATTTCCGGAATTCTGAGGTCAAGTCAGCATGTTATAATGTCTCATTTCTTTTTCGAATCCCCTAGATCTGCCCCAGGAATGGATGTTTCTCACCCAGATAAAAAAAAACAGCTAGAGGGAGTTAAAATAACTAGGTTTTAATGTGAGCGAGTGAAAATGATGTGTGTTGTTTCAAAGGGTTGTGTAAACTTATGAACCTTCCTCTATTGATATGTGTAAAGTTAATGATAGTGTGAATGTCCT